TATGAAGGAATGTCACAAAACTGAATGACAGACCTACAAAATGGCAGATGAAATTCAATGTTGACAAATGCACAGTAATGCACACTGGGAAACATAAGCCCATCTATACATACAAGATGATGGGGTTTAAATTAGCTGTTAACACTCAAGAAAGATATCTTGGAATCATTGAGCAGATGTTTTTAGAGAACCATCTGCAATGTGCAGCAGCAAGCAAAAAGCTAACCATGTTGGGAATCATTAAGAAAGGGATAGATAAGACAGAAAATACCATATTGCCTCAATATAAATCTATTGTATGCCCACATCTTGAATATTATGTGCACATGAGGTTGCCTTATCTCAAAAAAAATGTTAAAATCAGAAAAGCTACAGAAAAGGACCACAAAAGTGATTGGGAGTACAGAACAGCTTCCATATGAGGAACAATTTTATGAAAACTGGGATTTTTTTTCACTTGGAAAAGAAAAGACTAAAGCAGGATGTGATGGAGGTCCATAAAATTATGACTGTTGTGCAGAAAGTAGATAAGGAAGTGCTATTTACTTCTTTTCATAACACAAGAACCAGGGGTCACCAAATGAAATTAATAAGCAGCAGGTTTAAAACAAACAAGAGGAAGTATTTCTTCATACAGGGCACAGTCAAACTGTGGAACTGTTTTCCAGAGGATGTTGTGAAGGCCAAGTCTATTACAAGGTTAAAACCTAAAATAAAATTTAAAAACTTGATACGTTCATGGAGGGTAGGTCCATCAATGGCTATTAGCCAGTATGATGTCCCACTGTCCCTAGCCTCTCTGCCGGATGCTGGAAATGGGCAACAGGAGATGGATCACTTGATGATGATTTGTTCTTTTCATTCCCTCTGGGGCAGGTGGCATTGGCCACTGTTGGAAGACAGGATATTAGTCTGACCTAGTATGGCAATCCTTATGGATGCGTGAACAGAGTTGGCATTGGAGTTGATTGCAGGGGTGGGTTCTTGGATGAGTATGATGGATGTGTGCTGAGTGGTTACTGGAAATCATTTGTTTGAAGTTAGGGGGTTGTGTGTAGACAGGGATTGGCTTGTTCCCCAAGGTTGTGAGAGTGAGGGGTCTTTTTCCAGGATAGGTTCAAGACCCATCTATACAAGCGACATCATCACAGGACCTAACCACATAAACCACCACATCAGAGGCTCGTGTAACAACTGCACATCCACTAATGTGATCTATGCCCTCAAGTGCCAGCAATACCCCACTGCAATGTATACTGGCCAAACTGGACAGTCTCTACAAGAAAGGATTAATGGACACAAATCAGATATTCGGAAAGGTAACACAGAGAAACCTGTTGGGGAACATTTTAACTTGCCTGGGCACTCATTAATTGATCTTAAAGTTTCTGTATTATTGCAAGCCAATTTCAAAAACCAGCTTGAAAGGGATACTCCAGAACTTAATTTCATTTACAATAGAGATCTAAACAAAGACCTTGTGTTGATGGCCTGCTACATTCCACATCCAAATGACATACAAAAACAAGCATAGGGTATTTAAGAGCACGTAGTACGCACTGAATCAGCTTCATTTAGCATGGACACTCTAATTGGTATTTCCACCCTGCTTTTTCCTTCTCTTCCCCTCCCCTCTTCCCTTTCCTTCTCTGGTATTTATTTGGAAACTGGACCCCTTAACTCCATTCATCTGAAGAAGTGGGCTGTGCCCACAAAAGCTCATGATACCATCTACATGTTTTGTTAGTCTCTAAGGCGCTGCTAGACTATTTGTTATTTTTAAGGGTTTTTTTTTTCAATTACAGATTAATACGGCTACTCCTCTGAAACTTTAGATGGTGCAATATTATTAACTGTATTTGGTCTTCCACAGCGTCTAACTGTGTGGCTATCAATCTTGAAATCGGCATTTGCGGTTCGCTCTGTAGCAGGTTTGGTTCAGGTAGAGAGACTTTGGAGGATGTCATATTGTGTCAAAGCAACTAAAGTTAATTTTTGTTAAGTCTGTTGCTTTAGAAGGAGAGAACAGAAGAAATATAATCTTGATCTGGCATGATAATTCTGTTCTGGGTGACCCTAGAAAAATCTTTTAGAGGGATACACATTGACTAGGCAAAGTTGTGAACCTGAGCCCATTGTCTGATTATGCATACGTTTATGTACATCTGCCAACAACTTACTACTGAAACAGGATTGCACATTATTCTGTTGAGCAATGTTTGTTCTAATGGGCCTCACAATGCTGAGCCAAATGGATGCACTGAATGTAAAAAACCTACTTTCACAAAACACCTGCATCTTATATAGAATTGTAGTGCATTTGGCTGGCTACAGAGCTCCCTTTAACTGCAGCTGTGCTGTATTTTTTCATAGAAAATCAAACATTTGTTCTGCTTACAATATCTTGCAACATTTCAAGGCAGAGGAAATTGGGCATGCACTGTAAAAGTAAGGCTGCATGAAATATGGTGGTGACCTTAATTATTTTCATTTGGTACATATGTGCTTCAGGAAGTTTGACCCTTAACATGAATTTTGCTTTATGACTCCCTATCTTTCACCTGTTCTCCATTAGATGGAACATTCCTTTTTCTGACAGATTGATTTCTCCCTCTCCTCTCCCCCCTTTTTTTTTTGCTGGAAGATGTTATCTTTCATTGCACTCTGAAATTTAAAACAATGCTGCCTCATTAACTATACGTTTTTGTATGCATTTCATGCATCCGGACTTGTATGTTAGCTTTCAGAGTTCCTGTATCATGTTTCACTTTGTTACTTCTCTCTACCACATGGTAAATGTTACTGTTCCACATTTGGCTACATAATGTAGAAAAATACGTTTGGGGAAAGTTATTCTTACATTATGCTATTTGTGCTTACCGATTTGTACTAATATGCCATTCAGACTTGGAGGATTAAAAAAGGCATAATTCCTAATATACTCCAGTGAAGATAAAATAATATTTACTATGTTAAACTCTCAGGTCATGCCGCTGAAGAATTTAAACTTCCACTTTTACAGTGGTACTTAAATCTGCTGCTTTAGTATAAATCCAGACCTTCATGGATGAAAAATTAGCTTTGAGAGCATGTGATTATTTTTTGTAAATCATAAAGATACTTATTAAACTATTGTACAATAATTAATCTAAAATATTTAATTTCCCCCTGCCTCACATCGTTCACCATTTTATTATACAATGTTAAATTTGGATTGTTTCCCCCTCTCTCAATCCATATATCTTTTTTTAAAAAAATTCAAAAAGTCAGAAAATTCATAATTCTGAGAGCAAACTGCCCTAAAGCTTTAGTTCAGCATAACATGTTAGCACGTTTAAATTTTATCACATGCTTAAGTTACTATTCAGTTAAGCTTTTGAGTACATGCTGAAATGCCAGTGACTACTCTTGGGGAAAACAGCAGTATCTTACAGTATGTAGTGAAAGTTATCAACTATGGTAGAGTAGCTTCAGGGGGTAGCTGAGTTACTCTGTACAGGATAAACTTAAAAAACAACAAATGGTCTGGTAGCACTTTATAGACTAACAAAACATGTAGATGGTATCATGAGCTTTTGTGGGCACAGACCACTTCTTCAGATGACTGGAGTTTTATGGTAGAGTAGTCAACCAAGCATGGAAGCAAATTCCGGAGCCAAATAATTTTCATGTCACCCTGTTTGTCATAATGAACATTAACATCGATGGGCTGTTCTGATTTATCACACACAGTGTGTTTTCTTGGAAACTCAAAACCTGGAACTGGGAACTGGCAATAAGGAGTCAATGCAATGCCATTTAGTTAAGTTGTAAGCCAAAAATAGCTCTCCAGCACTTGGTTGCTCAGTGTGAAATGAACTGCTGCTCCCAGTCTCCTCTCTTTAGTTACCAAATGTCCACATCACAAGTCAACATCATCACAATTGGCACCATTGTCTGCAGTATCAGCAGACAAACCAAGGACTTGCTTGTTAATAAATCTGCACTGCCCTGTCATCTGTAAATATGGCCCTTGAAGCACATTGGCAGGATTGCCTAGGTAAGTTTACACAGTTATTGCCATTGTGTTTGACACTGTGGTATAGTAGCTAGAATACTGGACTGGGCCTGGGACCCAGGTTCCTATTCCCAGGTCTGTTACAGGCATTCTGGGTGACCACAAGTAAGTCACTTCGCCTCTAGGCTTCTAGACTTCTGGTGGTATTTGGTAATGGTGGTAATGATGCTGCCCTCCTTTTGCAAAGTGCAGTGAAAGCTATGGATGAAAAGTACTGTATCAGAGCCTGATGGTGGTGGTATTTTTAAAAGGGTAAATGGAGGCTTTTAGTGCTGCATCTTTCATAAGCACTTGTGATGGACTCCACTCATGGCTGGGGGGACACCTCCTCCTGGCGATTCTGGGAACTAGCTCTGATAAGTTGATGTCCCTTCCTGTCCTCCCTCCCTCTCTCTCCCTCCCTTCCCCCCCCGCCCCTCTCTCACTCCTGGAGTTCCTGCTTCCTGTTTGCGACTCGGCCCTCCAGCCATGATCTTTTCCTTACAGCAGGGGTGGCCAACCCATTCTGGGCAAAGAGCCAGGATAGCAGTGGATCCAATGCAAAGAGCTGGGCAAAGTTGTCAAGGGGGAAAAAAAAAAAAAAAAAAAAAAAAAGCTCTGCCCTGTTAAGAAAACGCATTTGAACGCGTTTAGAGATTTTTTTTGGCCACGTTAGGCTCCTACCAGCGGACACCATTTTTAATTCTACATCTTTCATGGCTGCGCCGGACGGGTCCCCTGCCCAGGTCAGCACAGAGAGCCAGGACGAGAGGGCCATTTTGGGGATGCGGGGGCGGCTTATGATCCATGGGAGGGGGGGCTTCACGAGCAGCACCCTGTGGGGGGTGGGGAGGGAAGAGCCACATGCGGCTCGCAAGCCTCAGATTGGCCATGGCTGCCTTACATGATATCAAAGTTTTGCAGGGCAAACTGTTCCAGGCAGTGCATTCTCCACTGCCTGGTCTGTGCCACTTCCCTAGTAGCTGGTGGGAGAGCCTGTACCCCCCCCCCTCTAGTCTGGGTTCCAGTTCAGGAGGTCCTCTCCATCAGCAAAGTTTTGTGCCAACCTGTGCCTTGCTGCTCTTCCCTGAGCCTTTCCTACTCTTCTCCACTCTCTGAGTTTGCCAGTTACACATCTCCCTCCTACCTGGGAGTAACTATTGGCTACCTGCCTCTCTATCCTCAACTTCCAGGGAGTGACTACAGAGTACTTCCTGCAGCCCCTAGCTCCTCTCAATGCCTAGGCTTACACTGATACCTCCTGTCCAGCTGAGCCACAGCTTACTGGCTCCTCCTCCAGGTGCAGCCTGAGCAATTAATTGGCCCAGCTAGCCACTTTCAAGGCTTTCTGAAGCCTACATCTCCCTCCCATGCTGCTTAATTGACTAATGGGCCCATTTGGCCTAATTCAGCTTCTCTCAGGGTGATGTGGGGAGTACCATATTCCTATTGCAGTACCATATTGACTTATAACAACTGAACAGGTTACATCTATAATAGGCTTAAAATGTAAGACTGGTCAGAGAGTGAGGTCGAAAATGAGATAGGTGGCTTACTTGCAGACCGAATAATTATTTTGTTTACTCTCATCATCGATATGGTATGTAGATTACTTCCCTCCCTCACATATAACTATAATGTCTAAACAGCACTTGTCCCAAACCAGCAAGTAAGAGAAGTAAGAGAATTCTTCAATTGGAATTTGAATAGTTCTTAATCTTTTCTCTTAAGTTGATTTGGGATATACTCTGACCCCACTTGGCTTTTAAAAATCTGTTTAATATGTGACAACAAACTGCAATGATGATACTTTAAAGTGGACATAATATGTAGAGTAAAGTTCCATTGTACACTAGATAATGTACTAATGTCTGCCTTATTCTCACTGTAAAATATACTGCAAGTAGTAGGACTTTGACACAGGTCATCCTGCCAAAACTACCAATACTTTAACTAAGGGGAACACTCTCTTGCTGGATATTATTGGACATTCAAACAGATTTTATGTACAGAAGGAATATTGGTGAAGACACCTATATAGTGTGGTATACTTTCCATAAAATCCCAAAGAATCTGTTCTACAGAGACCAGAAAAAGAATTTTTCGTTTAACATGTAGTATATTGAATGAACTTTGATCAGTACAAGGCTTATATTGTGAGCATAATCTGTGAGTCTAAGAAGTGAGTACATAGCTTCAATTTTTCACTTTCTGGTTCAGGTTTAAGTGTTTACAGAGTCACGTTATTCTGCATTGGAAGCATGGGTATTCGATTTGCAAGGCCTGCCTCTCCCTTCATGCTTTTGAAAAACTCTTGCCACATACAGATTCATTAATAAGAGCTCACTCTGGTGACATGCAAACTACAAGTCCCACAATTCTCAGCAACTGGGGAGTGGTGCAGAAATGTTTCCAGACTGTTCACATGGAGATAAGGGGGCAATGAAGAAATAAACAAACTTGCCAAGGTAAAAGGACTGTTCCAGAAAACATCATTCAGTGTGAAAAACACCTTTTGGAGTGGAGTATGTATGAAAAAGAAAAGTAGTGGAAAGGAAGTGGGGCTCCAGTACAGCTTATTCTCCTGAAAATATTTAGGAAGGTAAATCAGGCGTTTTCTCCCTTTTGTACAATAGAAGCTATGATTAATATATCCCTAACTTTAATGGCATTTGTTTGAATGACTAAACACATTTTGTAACAATTTTGGTAAATACTGCAAATATCAGTGCAATGCATTTTAGATCACTGTCCTAACCACAGTTTTGTACAGAGGCTTATACTGTTTTTCAAATTGTATAAAATCATTCTGTCCCCCCCTGAAGCAAATCCTTTTACTTTTCTTTTGATAAAGGATGGGGTCTCTAAAATCCTACAGCTGTGAGCAATGTGGGAATGATTTTGTGAGCCACACTGCCTTGAGGTATCATTTCAGAGCAAAACATCTTGGAAAAGTTCACTGTGAAAAATGTGGTAGGGAAGTTTTGAAAGAGAGACTTCGGGACCATGAAGAGGTAAAGCTGTTTGAGAGCGCTCATTCTTTCTCTTTCTCACAACATAGATTTGATTGTTACCAGTCTCTGTTCTTCCTTTTGCTCTGTATGTATTTATTTTTTCATTCAATAGAGAAATTTACATTAAAACTGGAAGTACATTTTGTAGCTGAAAAATAGCTTATATATGCAGTGAATAAACATATCTGAATGTCTGACTGTGCTATAGATAAAAATCCTACCTTAGCAAGCAGATAGACTGACTAACCCAACAGATTTTATTCTCTCTAACTTTTGTGCTTAATGCATTCCAAGTATAGTCTGCCTGTAGGAGTGCATCTAGACTGGCAAGATTTTGCTCAAAAGCGCTTGCTTTTGTGCAAAAACTTGCCAGCTGTCTACATTGGCTGCTTGAATTTGCGCATGAGCACTGACTTTGTAATGTACAAAATCAGTGCTTCTTGCGCAAATACTTTCATGCTCCCGTTCGGGAAAAAGCCCTCTTGTGCAAGAATACTTGCACAAGAGGGCCAGTGTAGACAGGGAAGAACTGTTTTGCGCAAAAAAGCCCCAATGGCTAAAATGGTGATCAGGGCTTTCTTGCACAAAATCACATCAAGACTGGCCACGGATGTTTTTGCACAAAAGCACTTTCCGGTAAAAGTATTTCCGCAAAATCATGCCAGTCTAGACACAGCCTAGGTGTTTCACATCCACATCCAAATGCAACAGTCATTTAATTTGTTACATTTATAACATAGTGCCATCCCTGTCAAGGAAACGTGAATTAGTTTATATAAAACTATACAGAAAATCAAAGAAACCTCCCTGGATTGAACCCAATAGGACTTTGAGAGTAAATGGCATGGTACGTAGGGAAGTTCCCACTGTGAAAGGCAGTTTGCTTTTAGTCACATGAAGACTTTTCTCATTAAGACCTTCAAGTACCTGTATGTGGAATGAAATATGGCACTGTCTATCCAATTCACTACTGCAGCCATAGAATGATTTTATTTCACTGCTGCTATATATACAGAAATCACTAATGAAAATTCCACATCCAACTGCAGATATCACATTTACCATTATTATTATTACCACCATTATTTTCTAGTCTAAGCATAGAATCCCACAGTGTAGGCTCTTAGCATATGGGCCCACTGTAAGTAGAAGTAGAAAGGCACTTGGAGACTCTTTAAGATAAAGGCTGTATACAAACCTATTTTCTTCTTATGATATATTTGGTGCATTTGTCTGTCCATCCGTGAGTCCATTTGTTCAAGAACTCCTCTAAATGGTAAGAAGTAGAACGACCAAATGTGGAATACAGCTTCCTTTTATTATAACTTAAAGCAAGGTCAGGATTTGGTTGTGCCAGGACAATGGAATGTGCCCGGAATTCAATTGTTTTGCATAAAATGGAAATGGAGGAGTGTGCTAGGAGGGAGTTATACTGCAGAATGACCACAGGGAGCAAGGAGCCAGAGATGAGAACTAGGACAGCCATAACCCCATTTGGCCGACGTGGAGAAAGGGACAGGTATCTACTATATATTTGAGAGAGTTTGTGTGTCTGACTATCCTGCAGCTGGAGGACATGTACCTTTCCTGGCTGTGGACACTGCAGCTGCACCAGCAATGGAAACACTTTTCACCTGGCCCCAAGCTGCAGCAGTTAGAGAGGACCGAGGCTGTCCTCTTTCCCCAAGGCAGACTGCAAACTGAACCCTTCTTCCCCAACCCTTCCTCAGAACAATGATTTAAATGAAGGGAAAAAAACATATTTGAGTTAAGGACCTGAGCAATGCTCTGTAACTCTTCTATTAACTAATAAGGCAATATCCTTAAGAATCCACACTTGCCTCTCCTAATGAAAGGAGTAGGAAATGAGTGGCCATTCTGCTTTTGCACATTCAGGCAGCACCATTAGGGACATCTTACCTGAGTTGGTCTACAGCACAGTTTCTCATTCTTTATCATGTTTAATCACTTTAGGATCTTATCTGGTAGAGTGCATGGCTGTAATTAAAATCTGTGATGACAATAATAAAACAAAATTGTGTGCAGGAATAACTACATAATGTAGATAATAATATTTTTAAAACCATGTCTGCATTTAATCTTGTCTTTCTGCAGGCAGTCATTTATTAGACCCGGCCAATTTAATGCTGGAAAAGTGCTCATTGAATAGGTTTGAATGCCAAACAATTTTTGAAACAATAATATCTGTTTTGTTTTCTACTGCAAGAGGATTTTTGTGAATCATAATGAAGGAAAGGATATTTATATCACATAATATTTATTTAAAATCACAGCAAGCTTCAAGGTGGACTTCTAAAACTAGAATTATTGGAGCTGTTGCTATTTTTTTATTATACATGCTTTATGGACTTGGCCTACCATCTTTCCCCTTATAATGTGCTTTAAAATGCTGAGGTTTTGTCTTGAAATGAGCTTCAATTCACTGTACTAACCAGCCTCCTTTTCCAATATCCAACTTATTTCTGGATATTCAACAGGCCAATCACGAAAGGACGAGTCAACAGGTCAACCATGAAAGGACGAGTGCTGAAAAACAATGGTGTTTCTGGGACATGCCTCAAAAAAGGGAAGAAAAATTTGTGGCCATGGAAATGTCTACCTCCTGCAGGATGTGCCCAAGACAGTTTGGGACCATCCACAGCAGGGAACACCACGAGAAACAAGAACATCACTTCACAGCCAGGAGAAGAGGTACCACTGCTGCTCAGAAGGACAGGGAGTTCTGCTACAGCAGTGTTTCTTAAACTTTTTGAGACCACGGAACACCAAACAATAATATTTTTTTATGTGGACCACCTATGAAAATTTTCTTTAAAAAAATGTCAGAAAAAAAGGACAAAAACAAAAAAGTAACAAAAACAACGAGGAGGTCACAGCACACCTGTGAGTTGTTCATGGACTACCAGTGTTCTGCAGAACGTAGTTTAAGAAACACTGTGCTAGAGGGCACTGGCCATTAGAGATGGAGCAGCAAGTGCTAAATAACGTAAGCATCAGATGCTTTCTCTGGTGACATCCCTCCTAAGATGTTTAATATCACCATTATCCAGCAAAACTCTTCCTGAAAGAACACTGAGCTGAGTGGGGCTGTGTATTATTCTCAACACCTATTGTAATTGGTTGGAGTTGCAGGTACATAGCACCAAGCAGAATGGGACACACTCCCTGGTAATTGTATCTTGAGAGTCAGCTAGTTACAACTAGTGTGTCTGGTGAGGACTTTTGGTAATGGTTACAATTAATCTCTTCATTTTGCTCTTATGAAAGATATCTCTTGCTTTAGACCATCCACAGGGCTGGGCATTAACATTTGTGGTATAAACAAACAGATATGACCCAATGTTCCATAAGTAAATGAATCTATATCCAAAGCTACAGAACAATAAACATAATGAAATCTACATCATGATTAGTCTGTGTTTCCTGTCTTACCCACCCTTCCCTCAGCCTTCAGCCTTATAATTTTAAATGTTAGAGGGCTATGGATGAGAAATAGCTTGTGCATTAAATACCTCATCCACATTTTATATTCGCTGGCGGCAGTGAAGCTCATTTTGAATTCTTTTAGTGCTTGATCCGTTTCTAACCATTCTTTTCACACGTGGGAAGTTGGTAGGTATTTTTTTAAAATTATTTAAGGCCTTTATGAAACTTTTTTTGCATAGGAACTCCAGTTCTATTAAATGCATAACATCTACACAATAACTAAATGAAAAGCGGAATGTGTAAATCTTACAGTAAAGGGTTGTCATGGTTATCTGCCACAAAAACAAGCTGCTGTTTGGTCCAATTACTGCTTGCTGATCCAAAAGTTATAAAATCATTGCCTTAGGCCATTTCAAACATCTGGCCTACTAAGACGTGGGTGATAGGCACAACCATCGAGCCAAAACTTCAAATCTCATAAGAAAAGAGCAGCCAATGAGCAGCCCTAAGCTGAATTCCCAGAAGTCTCCATCAGTAGATACAACTGTCTTTCTGGCTGTCCCCTTGTTACAACAGTTTAGTCTTGGAGATCACAATCTCCACCTCCAACTCTCTCAGCCAAAACTAGCTTGAATTTTCCTACCAGTAAAAGTCACACTACTAGCAGCTCCTTAGCTGGCATCCCACCAAACCAACCACTCACAAATACCTCTCTTGGCAGAACAAATGCTGAGGATGAAAATGTTATAACTGATGTCCAACAAATGCTTTTTGTGGGTGGAATACTCCTGGGCAATATTTCAGTGTTCAAAGCAACCCCCCCTTTCTCATTTTTCAGTCTACATTTTTGTGAGCCTTTTTACCACAGCAGCCAAGAAGACTTCTAGCCCAGGTTTGGAGAGGGTATTGTATAACCAGCACCATATGGGTCAGGAAGGCACAGCTGTTCTGCACACAAGATCTAACAATTCAGCTAATGTTTGTAAGTAGTTTAGGGTGGCTTTAACCAAGCTATTAACCTTCCTAACTAGTTCCCTTCATTGATCAACCTTCACAGCAGGGAAGTGAGTCACTCTAGTCTTTGTATCAACCTCTGTGCCCAGGTGTGGATATACATATCTGGTTCTCCTTCTGTGTCAATGGAATCCCAAGTCTCTCTGTGGCAGAACTAATTGTCTAAACTAAAGAAAAGCTTTCTACTGTCGGAATCTGCTGAGGCTGGGAAATGGAACAAATCCTAGAAAGTGTCAGGCCAAATCCATGTCTTCCTATTCTAAAAAGAGACTAAATAGTTCAAAGGCTAAAAAGGAAAACGACACTCATGTGGGCTTGGCAATATGAGGATGTTGGAAGCTCCATCAATTCAAAAGCATTAAGGTGAACCAATAATAAATAAAAAGCTGACTCTGACTGGTTGGGGGTCATATAATTAAAAGACGAGCAGTTCTCCAAGTCAATGAGACTGTTGTTTGTTGTCGTATAAGCCCTCCTATGAAAAGATCAAATGATGAATGAGTCCAGACTTTCCTAGCACTACTTCCAGCTATGAAATCTGCAAATTGTTAAATGGCTCTGGAAGAGGTCCTGTCACTAGATCATATCTAATCTCCTCACCTTTCTTTTCCCTTACAATTTCTAGAAGAGTAGATGATAACATCAGATTATTTGACAGAGTCCTTTACTCTTGATGAGACATTCTAAGGCGTTTGGAAAACCTCACTACAGAATTCCTCCCACCATCTAATCAAAGCAACACCAGTTC